CTACCCTGGGCATCCGTGAGCCCAGGGGCTGTGTGTTGACTCTACTTCAGAATCTCAGGTGCCGTCAGCTACTGCCCCGAGTCCTGCCTGCCCACCCCCAAGGGTCGCCCTCAGGGACACTCCTTCTGCAGCCCCCATGCCGCCTTAGCTCTTGGACACAGTTCTGTGCAAAGTGTAAAACGGGGCTGTGAGCTCCATGCCTGGGCCCCTTTCCAGCTCCATCACTGCGGACAAGCTGAATGACCATACACAACCTACTCTCTTTTTCTAGCCAAGCTTTTCTCCATGAAAGAAAGGCATGAAAGCCTGGTCTCCGGGAGCCCGGGTCTTTTCTCTCTTAGGACCATTGACATACTAGCTTTTTCTGTTCTTCCCTGCTGCAGACTAAGCAATATGACACCAGCGTCCCTGTGATGACCTTCCTCTTATCTCCTTGCCCCTGAGAGAATATGTTCCCTAGGGAGACTTCACCCAGAAAAGGCAACAGTCTTGGGAGGGAGTGTCACTTTCTCTAGGACTCCCCAGGCCCTCCCTCAGGTAAAGTCAGGAAGCCTTTACATGGTGCAGGAATGCTGGTCTATATGGAATGTTTCCACCCCTCCAATCTAATCTCTAATGTGGGCATTAGGGGATGACGCTTCTGAGAGGTAGTTAGGTCCTGGGGGCAGAGGGCTCATGAATACTACTCAGTGAAACTACAAAGAGCTCCAATCTCCAGAGAGATCTCTTGTCCCTTTCTCCATGTAAGGACTCAGGGACATCCGGCCATCTATGAACCAGGAAGTGGGCACGATCCAGCACTTGATGGTGTGGGCATCCTGATCTTGAACCTGCAGCTTCTAGAACTCTAAGGAACTTCTTCCTGCCAGCCTGTGGCACTTTATTAATGCAGCCTGCACATGCTAAGGCACTCTGCAGGGTATTTCCTTTCTCTGACACTTCAGACCTTTCAAAATGGCTCCTATGCAGTTCTGTGAAGGAAGACAGTCTGCCCTTAGCCCCATTTTAAACATGACATAAAAGTGCATGTCCAGCATGCTACCAGAACCAGGTTTTGTTCTCACCATGGTTCAAGGGGAGAAGAGTGGGGAAAGACATGGCCCAGAAGCTGAGGAGGGGCTTTGTCACTGCACTAGGCTGGAATTGCCCCTATATCGTTGCCCTCCTTGGGGACAGAGAGCACACTGGACTGCAGATGGCCATTCTTACACAGTGCTGCATGAGGGTGTGATGGTGGCAGAGACCCTAAATTACTTGAGCCTGTTGGAGAGGGCTGCCTGGGAAAGTGAGGCCATGAGCAGCACTGCTGCGTAGAAGGGGGAATGAGGAGAAGGGATTTCACTTAGTCCTCTCTGGCATCCACGTGGGGCCAGAGGGGCTCTCTGAGGATGTTTTCATAGCGGGATCCCATTGCAACACCGTTAGGAAAGAATGACTGCTTGGGCAGACCTCCTGAAATGCTCCACTACAGAGCTCTGAGCACAGCGGACTCCCACCTCTTCTAGGCTTTCCAAAGCCACCGTCCTCACTGGAAACCTAAGCTTCTTGTCTTGAACTCCCACACATTCCACCTCCAGCCCAAAGCTTGCTGACCGAACTGCTCCAACCTCCTTTTCCCTATTGACAACATCTCTGCGGCCCAATCCAGGCGAACAGCGTAGAGGAGGAGAGCGGGTGTCTGTGAGCTAGCGATTAAGCCACGACTAGCACAGATCACTTCAGTCATCAAAATTTCATGAAGTGTCCATCGGCAAAAGCCACTCCAGTGATTCCTCTAAAAGGAGAGCGTCAATATGGCTTCCATGACCCTGCCAAGTGTTTATTAATGTGCTGATTTGGTGAGAAGAAATCACTTCCCTGGGTTCAAAGAGAGGAGTGGGGGAAATACAAGCATCCTAGCTACCCTCTTTCTCCATGAGGCAAGATTTCAAATAATAAGCAGATCTACAACAGATGGGCTGGGTTTTAGCACTCCTGAGGGGGAGAGCATGGAGCCAGCCTGTCTCTCTCTGTAAATCTAAAGAGAATGTGAGCCAGAGTGAGAGCCTCTCTCTCTCTCTCTCTCTCTCTCTCTCTCTCTCTCTCTCTCTCTCTCTCTCTCTCTCTCTCTCTCAGTGTGCATGTGAATGTGTGCGTCTGTGTACATCTGTGTGTCTGTGTGAGTGTGTGTTTCATCTGTATAACAGAAAGGTTGACAGGAAGCTCTCTCTCGCTCCCCGAACAACTGTGAGGATGGAATGAAAAGCGGGGCATGGAAAATTTAAGGACTTCCTTGGCATGTTCTGAGTGCTTAACAACATCAGGCCAGGGAAGTAAATTTTGACACCTTCACATCTCAAAGCAGCATCGTCAAAGGATCCTCTTCACATTATGAGCCAAGCTTCCCCATGGAGTCCCCAAAGTCCACTCTCTTCTGTGTTCAAATTCTTTGCATCAATCTGGGTTTTCTCAGATGTGAGACTACTCTGAAACTAAATGCCAATTTTTAAGGTCTCCCTTACCTTTCCTGTGAGCAGGCAGCTACGTGCTCCCTCAGTTAAGAGTGAGTCATAGGCATCCTCGCTCGCTCGCTGTGGTTCACATTTCTGCTGTCATCCACTGTTACTCTACATGCCCCCCCAAGCGCTCTGCCTGAGCCCTGAGCCTTTCTGCTTTCAATCACAAATCTCTTCATATACCACACAACCAAACCGTTCTCATTTTGTTAACCCTTCCAGGGATCTGCCCTTGACAAACAGTAGAGAAGTAATCAGCTTCCAACCCTGAGATTGGGTGAGCTGAGTTTGGAGTCCTGACCTCCTGTTTGTGTCCATGTCCTTTATGAAGATGAAGTTCCCTGGTTCTTATTTAACAACTTTGACCAATATAGTGATCCTGAGTAGACCTGTTTCTTCTCCCAACTTCCAATTGCTCAAGTGGAGTAAGTTTTACTGAATCACAGACACATCCCTCTCACCTACCCTTTGGTGCCTTGAGGTCCATCAGGGCTGGCCAGGTACATGCCTCTGCTCACTCATCACCTGCTGTTTGCACCCATCTTCTTGCCCAGGATCCTTTCCCATCCCCACTCTCCACCCACACAAAGTCACCTGACAAATATTCCAGGGTCTCTCACACTTCCAGCCATCACACATGCTCACCCCGCTCCCAGGATATCCACCTGAGTCATTCCTAATGACTTTTCAAGTCCCGAGAAGCCTTCTTGGTGCCCTTAGGTCTTGCCTCATCTACTCAACCTCACAGCCACCCTAGGGGAGCAGCCCTTCTCTGGGGCCCCACAGCTGTTCTGCCACATAGCATGTACACACTTCTCTGCTCCTCGTGGAGCTTTCTGAGAGTAGAGACTGCCTTCCTATCCATAAAGTCACCAGACTTGAGCTGCTGAACGGGACAGAATTGAGCAGAAGGAAACAGAGCAGGAACTTTTCTGCTGGCCTAAGAACTACTCAGAAAACACCTTAGGCAAAGAAACCTCAAAGAGGTGGGAGTCAGCAGGTCCCGACAGGAACAGACACACTGCACCTGACTCTCTGGCCTTACACTTCGTCTTCTCGACTCCCTGGTGGCCTGAGAGCTACAGATGTTGAGACTGAATAGTGCTGGCTATAGGGTTGGGGGTGGAAGAAAATATTAACTCAGGATTGTTAAAAAAAAA